TAATACCCCTTTACAATGCTTTGGTAAGGCCATACTTGGAATACTGCATCCAGTTTTGGTCACCACGATGTAAAAAAGAAGTTGAGACTCTAGAAAGAGTACAGAGAAGAGCAACAAAGATGATTAGGGGACTGGAGGCTAAAGCATATAAGGAAAGGCTGCTGGAATGGGGCATGTCTAGTTTAATGAAGAGAAGGACAAGGGGGGACATGATAGCAGTATTCCAATATCTCAGGGGCTGCCACAAAGAAGAGGGAGTCAAGCTATTTTCCAAGGCGCCTGAAGGCAGGACAAGAAGCAACGGATGGAAACTAATCAAGGAGAGAAGCAACCTAGAACTAAGGAGAAACTTCCTGACAGTTAGAACAATTAACCATTGGAACAACCTGCCTCCAGAAGCGGTGAATGCTCCAACACTGGAAGTTTTTAAGAAGAGACTGGACAGCCATTTGTCTGAAATGGTATAGGGTTTCCTGCCTGAGCAGGGGGTTGGACTAGATGACCTCCAAGGTCCCTTCCAACTTTATTATTATTATTAATCTGACCGATCTATCCTCCTTCAAGGTGTGATTAGCCACAGAACCAGTTTGCATTACTGGTTTCTGTGGCTAGTGGCATAAAGGATTGCATCCATTTTCTTCAACTTTATCTCTTTCCATATCTACACATCCAATGACTCCTTTAGCTATGGAACCACTATGCCATTCTAACTGGTCTTATATACAGTATATATGAAAAAAGAGAACCTGCAAGTTGAATAGCTTTGTTCTCTTCTAAGATATTCCATTCTGTTCTCTCTCGTAAACATTTCTTACCTTTCTTCATCAACTAATGCATGCCCAATGACTATGCTTAGCTCTCATTTGGCTGTTTTGAGCCCTTCCATCTCTTTCACGTTTTATTTCTTTTGCATTTATTATAAACTTTGCAATTATTTGAGCCTGTTGATTATTCTCTCTCATCTATAAACAGTGCTCTTTAGATCCAGACTTGGAAAATAACTTCAATAGTATTTTAAAAATGATACACAGAAATCGTATTAGTTAACAATTTAATGGTAACACTAAACTGCCGCCTCCAAATGTTTTTCAAGACGATCTCTCTTTTTATTGTTTATTGATTGAAATTGATGACAGTTGAAATGTAAAGCACCTAGAGGACATGAAGTTGCTTATCTTTGTTTTCTACCTAGACTTATTATACATACATATTCTACTTCACTTTGCTATACTTTTTAGATGACGTTATTTCAGCACATAACTATTTCAGTCTAGCATTACATTCATTACTCACTTGCTCAGGACCAGATAAGAGGAATAAAAATGCAACTAAGAAGATGTATGTTCTGTCATAATTATAAGATTTGGTGTGATTCTTAATATAAAAGGCTTTATTAGAACTATTTTTCAGTTCACTAATGTTTCTCCTATATCCCTCTCATTCTGGTCTTTTCAGATTAAAAAAGATTTAAACAGGCAAAAATATGCTCTCCCTTTTTCAATTAAGGATGTGCCTTTATAGTAACCGCAGCATTGTTTAAAATTGCAAAATAAGGCATTTTTTTTCTATTTCTGTCTTTCATGGAGTTATGGAATTTTTTTTAAGCTTTAAACTAACAAGTATCGAGGTGTTTGTAGTAATATCTGCATTCAGCTTTTTAGGTAAGCAAAGCAAAGCATTCATGATTTTTCATTTCCCTGATAACCAATAAGGAAAAACAAAAAGCTAAAAGCAGAACATACCACGAGATCTTTTCCTGATTTTACAGTTCAACCTAAAGGTCTTTTGGGGAATAAAATGTAAACAATTATAATAATTATTTCCTTTTTTAACAATTTAGGCATGAAATACTTATGTGCGTCAGTTCATTTTTTTTAATGCCATCAGCAGTTTATAAATATATAGAAGGCTTTTCTAGGAAAGCAATCAAGCTGTTTGTCAAAAGAGTTATGATTATGAAAAGGGTTTAAAATTTTCTCAATACTATACTGGGTCTTAATTTTTGACAAGCCTTTCATTACAACTAGTCTTTTGGGGTTGTCCATATGTTGGACTACAGCTCTCACAATTTGCTGCAAGCACCACACTGGGGAAAACGTATTCTTAGTAGTGTTGAATATCAATCATCTCAAAATCAAAGTTTATCAGCTTATGCCCACAATAGTTCCAATGGTCAAATATCCCTAGGGTTAGAAGTTACCAGACCATCCTGTTTTTCTAGCGTGAATCATTAGATCAGTTCTTTGCTTGTGTGTGAGTCAGAGAGACAATGGTGAAGACCTCCTTATTTCCCTGTAACTGCAGTTTTTCCAAGTGGTGATGTTCACACAACCCCTCCTTTTGTTCTTCTTAGTTTCAAATGACCTCACTCTTTGTACAAATGTTCTTTAGCAATCTTAGGAGTTGAAGGGATTTGGCAGGAGAGTCACTGAGCTGCCTGATACAGGTGGAATCTAAGACTTCCTCTAACAATTCTGTATGCATTAGAAAAATCCAATTAAGGTTTTGCACAAAGGCACAATTTTGCAATGTGAACTCACATTTTGCTTTCCAAAGAAATGCAGATGCAGGTAAATAATATAATTGTATTTTTGTTTTCTTTCTTTGGCTTAGAAATGATAGCTCATTATAGAAGACTCTATAGTGGGGTTCATCAGACATTAACATTCAGATTTTTTATTTTTTTTAAATTCCTCCCAGGCTTATTAACTCACAGAGGTTAAGAATTAAAGATGTTACTAGCTTTTTTATGAATATGTGATTAATTGTAAGTTGTTTTAAAATTATAAAGACAATAAATAGCACTTTATAATACAGAAAATAAAATAGTCAAATATAATAAAAAGCACTATGAAGAATATTTTATATAAACATAATTAATTGTTCATTCAGATAGAATTGTATTTAATTGTTTAATGTATGCACAAATATAACACTTATACCCAATTTCTATCCATCCCCCAAAATAAAAATTACATTGTTATATTTTTAGCTGTGTTTGTCATGATTGAACTGATAAAATGTGGTTCTATAAACAAGACTATTTTAAGCATGTATGCAGTTCTCAAAGACTTTTGCAAGCTTATATACAAATCCTTTTTGTTTTATGTTTACAGTGACAAACAAGAGACCTGCACAAGCATATATTACAAAAGTTAAACAGTTTGAAGGTTCTACATCTTTTGTACGAAGGTCACAATGGATGCTTGAACAGCTTCGCCAGGTTAATGGTTTAGATCCTCATCGGGTAAGTATTTGACAATAGAGGTGCTCCTCATTTAATAATGTCCTTTTACTTGTCTGTTGTTTCTTATGATTACTCAGACAGCCTTCACCCTTTCTTTTTTGGGAACAGTTCAGTCATTAGTACGTGTGGGGGAGGGGCAGTTGCTTTGATTTTACTTTAAAAAAAAGTACTATAATAGATATATTGAGATGATAACCATAAATCTTTAAGATCCTGAATAATTATTCCAGATATTCTTGATTTCTTTCTAAATCATTGTAGATTTTACCATTTTATTGTATCCAGTAAGCAGTTAGTCAAATGAACCATTTGGATAGAGGCTAAATAATACATATTTCTACTCTGCTTTTTTTAACCAGTTAGTAATCCATAAAAGGACACATCCTCTGATTCCATGACTGTCCAGTTTACTCAAGATCCTTGGCAAAGAACTTAGAAAGATTTTTGAAAATTCAAGGATGTCTACTCCATTTATTGCCCAATGGCACTTTAGTATATTAGCAAGACAGGGTTTGCCTTTGCAAAATCCATGCTAATTTTCCTTTAGCAATTTTTGATTCTCCAAATGCTTAGTTATTTTTAATTTGATTGCTATGTCTACCCAGTTTATCCAGAATTGATATTAAAATGATTGGCCTATAGCTTGAAAGATCTTAACAGGTCACTTTAGAAATTGGTGCTACACTGTTCTACCCTGGTACTGAGACTGATTTAGGACTGTTAGGAGATCAATAGTTTCACCTTAAGTTCTTTAAAAACCCTCTGTTGAGTGCAATTAGAACCAGATGGTTTGTAGCTGTCTTTCAAGATGTCCTAGAACTTTTTCCTCAGTTTACTTTAGTTGTTCCAATTACCTCCCTGGGAAAATCAATGTGAGCTCAGATATCTGTCCTATATATTTACAGAAAAGAGGGATGTAGATAATAACTTCTTTTCTTTGCAATTCTCATGGCCGCTTTGAATCCCTTTTGTTGTTTTTGTTGTTGTCTATTAATTTCCCAGGACACTTCTCTGTTCTGTCTATATTTAAAGAAGTTCTTACTATTTTCTCTAATGTTGCTATACATTCTTGGGTTCTTCAGTTTTCTGCTTTATACTATGTCAAAACTAGTATTTCCTTGGTATAAAGAACAGCACCTTCCCCACTGCACTCTTTCTTATCCTTTCTGTAATGCCTGTATCCAGGAATTAAGAAGCACAAAACTAAAAGCACAAGCCTGATGATGATGAATGTGATTTTGTTATGCCCACTATATCTGTGTTCTCCTTGGATTCTTCTATAGACTTTAGAAATTCACATGTATTTCAAGCATTCACATATATTTAGTACTTTCATATAATGTTGTTGTGAACTTTTTTCACATCCTCGTTGTTTTCTTTTCATCTCCTGAAAATCATATCCACTTATTAACCCCCATCCAACTTTCTTTTATTCCTTATAGTATTATCTAAAATATTTATACCCTTCTAAAAAATGTAATCCTTCTAAAGGAAGCCACCTGTCGGCTTTCCTATAGAATCAGCTTAGAAGTTGCTCTGTCATATTTTTGACCAGCAGGTTGGCTTCATTTAGGTTCAACAAAGCCCATCTCTGTCATGACAGGATTGGCCTGTCTTCAAATATTCATAGTACTTAGCAAATCTAAGTCTTTCTACCTTATACCAATTTGTCCCCCATTTACTGAAACTTCTCATCTTTGCATATCTAGTTGGCCTTGTCCATAAAACAAAGAACATTTTTGAGAATGCTACATTTACAGCTCCAAACATCAGCCTGCTAACAAGCAATCTAATTCTGCCTGCCACTGCCTCCTCTCCGAGGGAATATTTTGGAAGCAGAATGAGCAAATATGAGTTTTATCCAATTCGTCTTATCGGAAGAAGAAGTTTAGTGTTGTAATTAAGACATTAGGCTAGAAACTAGGATGCTGTAAATTCATGTTTCACTTAAGGCACTAAGCCAGCTGGGTAATCTTGGGCTAGTCACTCTCTTATCAGTCCTAGGAAGAAGGCAATGGCAAAACACTTCCAAAAATCTTGCCAAGAAAACTGCAGGAACTAGTCCAGGCAGTCAAGGCACATAACAACATGCACGCACACTCACTCACACCCACCCACACAGACACACACATAAACTTCTTTATGGGAACATCTTTTATCCTTGAAATGATAACCTCATTTCCCAAAGAGATTGTCTATAGCAAGGAATATCTTTGTAGGAGGTAGTTAGTAGAAGTAGACCAAATCAAGAAACTGACTCCAACATTTTAAATATTTCAGCTATCATAAGAGAATCTTGAAAGCCAGACTGTTTTGTTTCCTCCCTTTTACACCCCATTGGATTAGGGTGGATCCAGACTGAGTTTCTTTCTTGTGCTTTCTCTGTTTCTAGGATTTAACACACATTTTTGTTCTTTTCTACAATTTTCTCCTAGGTCATTTCTATGGTTCTCTAAACTTTCATGTCTTATTTACATATCTCTCTTATTCTCAATAACTGCAGTTCATCCACCTTGGTTTCAGTGGAACAGACTTGCTCTATAAGAGTTCATTGTACTGAGTGTGAACCTTTACCATATACCCAACAGGCAGGTAGTGATATACAATGAACTGGAAAGCAGTCTCTCTGTTACTTTTACCTTTATACCAGTTACTTTTAGAAACGTGGTTTTTTAAAGGATTGGTTGACCTAAAAGGTAGATAGATGCTACATTTACCCAGTTTCAAAGCCTGGCTTTCTCACACTGGAGAAGAAAGATCACTGGGCTTTTTCCTCCATTCTACTCCCTTGCAAAGCTTATTGTCCTTACTCTGTCCCTGTCCCAAATGCCTATCTTTTTATAAAGAGGCAAAGAAAACTTCATTGGGATCTGTTCTAAATTTCTTAGGAGGAAGCATACTGCATTTCAAGTGCAGCTTCTCGGAGTTCCAAAGCAAAACTAGCACTCACTGCTGACTACCTAAAACTCAAGACTAAAACATTCATCATAACTTGTCAGTATGATCTATGTTTGGAGATTATGGAAATTAATTAATTCAAAGATATTTCAGGGATCCAGAATAATATAAGATTCTTTATCAGGTTGTCTTCCAGCAGTGTTACTGTGTAATACATTCTGGAATGTACTCTTGTAACTTGACAACAGATTATTTCAGATAGATTCAATGTTTGTTTCCATGATTAAATTGAGAATTGTTACCTTCCATCTGCTTTTGAATTACCTTTTGTCTTCAAAAAACATTTTGTAATAACATGGAATTAAAAATATTATATATAATACAATTATTATAAAAAGTTTGTTATGATTTTTTTCATAATGCTTTAATGTGTTATTAAGGAAAATCTAATATAGCAAGTAAGACTTTGTAATATTAAAGTATTTGCCTGGTAATCTGATTTTTTCTTTCTAGGATTCCCCAGAATTTGATTTATTGTTTGAAAATGCTTTTGACCAATGGGTGGCAAGTACAGCCTCTGAGAAATGTACATTCTTTCAAATTCTCCATCATACTTGTCAACGGTATCTTACAGATAAAAAGCCAGAATTTATTAATTGCCAGTCTAAAGTTATTGGAGGTAAGTGCTACATGTTTTAATCTCTGAAGATTTTTGTTTCAGGACATTTCATTTATTATAAATTTAATCTCTTTATATTTATTTATAGCAGGGGTGTCAAACTCGCAACGTCTCGTGATGTCACGTGACATATCGCGACTTTTTTTCCATTGCCGGCAATGGGGTGGGCACAGTTTTGCCATGACGGATCCGGCCCGTGGGCCACCCCTGATTTATAGTTTATTTAAAATCTAGAACAGTTTGGTCCAGTAGTTAAAGCAGTAGGCTAGAAAGTGGGAGTCTGTGAGCCAGCAGAGTAACCTTGGGCCAATCGTTCTCTCTCAACTCAGTTCATAGGGTTGTTGTCATGGGAAAAATAGGAAGAAAGTGTGTTATATATACTATGTCCGCCACCTTGAGTTATTTTTGAAAATAAGGTGGGATACAAATAAGCAAACAAATAAATAAATGAATACTGCAAGTGGTTTTTTTTTAATTCATCTGGGCTTGTTGGTAATATAGTACAGTAACATATACAAGATTAACTTTGATCCTAATAAAAAATATTAAAATATCTTTCTGGGCCTTGAAGTCAGATTAATAGACATTCTAATTATTTAACTAAAGTATCAGTTAATAAAGCTAGGAGAAGATTTTCCTACATAATCATTTCCTTCCTGGTTTAATCTATTTTGCTTCACTGCATAAGTATGTGTCACTTTTTAATTCCTTTTTTTATTGGTTTTATTGTTTCCCATTTAGCCATAATTGATTTTACAAGTCTTTCTAAAAGAGGAATTTCTAAACTAGAGTGGAAGTTGTTGGACAATAATCACTTCTCTTAATGCACTGTTTTATTATACTAAAACATTTTTCTTTCTGAATCAGCATCTTTGGTATCAGCAGATCTTGCAAGTGTTAATGTGCATCAGATCTTATAAGATAACAAAATTTGTAAGTGTGGCCCACTCAGTGCTTGTGATTTCCAGGAAGAAATCCTACAACTATATTTGTTAGGTTTTCAATTACATTAAGTCTTTAGGGCACAATTTTAAAGCTTAAAGTGTATAACTTGTATACTGTGGCAACAATTTTGCTGTTCCAAATTTTTTATTCATGGTCACTTGATCTCTAAAGAGAAGAGGTCTTGCTACATAATTTAAAATTGCTTTGAAATCCTGTAATTTAGAACCAGTTGAAGTTCAGAAATTGGCAAATGCTCTGGTGCACTTCTTCTCCCTGTAGGCTTGAGTGAAGTAAAGTTTATGTTGGTATTTCAGCAGCAAGAACTAAAATGCTTGACTGAATAATGTTTTATGGTAGCAAATGCTTTTGAAATAATTAAAGCTTCCATTTTTATCTCCCAAACTCATTAATCGGAGTATCAAAGGGATAATAAATTGATTTTGTACTTATTCCCTATTGTTTATATTCATTATGTGTGCTTGCTGTACCTTCCTTTCTGTAGAACTTCTTAATTTCAAAGGGAAAGAAAGACTGATGATGACATAGAGACATGATCTTTTGTATGTTCCTTTAGTTTCTCTTGGCTTTGACAATGCACTAGATTACAGTAGTCCTCCACTTAAGACTATTCATTTAACGACCATTTGAAATTACGATGTGCTGGAAAAAGTGACTTACAGAGTCACAATTTGTAACAGGTTTCAACCATTGCACCAAACTCTGTGCTTAGATTATTGTAATTTGGGAGCCGGGCAACTGGCTTGCGTTTATGATGGTTCTAGGGCTTCATGATTCCTATTTGTGACCTTTTCAGCCAGCTTCCAACAAGCAAAGTCAATGAGGGAAGCTTGATTTGTTTAATGATGATGTGATTCACTTAACAATTGTATGATTTACTTAACAGCAATGGTAGAAATCGTCATAAAATTGGGTCTGGTCATGTGATGACTTGCTTAATGATCGCATTACTTAGCAACCAAAATTCCAGTACCATTTGTGGTCCTAAGTTGAAGACTACCTGTATAATCTGTAAATGAAAAGACTTGTACAAGAATTCATGTCAGAGCTTCAAAATGTAGGGTAGCAATGAAGATGTTAGTCTGGCTGTCGGAGATCTGTAGGGTTCAAGTCCACCCTCAGTCACAGAAGCTCACTAGGAGATTTGGTCAGATTCTCTCTCAGACCAAGCTACTACAGAGGGCTGTTGTTATAAAGGAAAAAAAGAGGACAGAGGCTGTTGATATGAAAAAAAAGAGGATAGAGGCTGTTGTTATGAAGAAAATTAAGAGGATATATGCTACCTTGAGTCCGTGAATGAAAGGAAAGATAGCTCTTATTGTTATTTTGGAATTAAATATTTTGTAGTGTTTCATTTTCTTTTATCGTATTATTGGAATACATAATTCCCATTGAAAGGTATTGTATGTCTGATTTCTGAAGGACAGAGTGACTTTATGTGAAAAAGAGTGATCTGTCTATAGAGATTCTCAATCATCCAAAACATGGTTGTCCCAAAGGTGGTTTTTCAAAAAGGCCATTGGACTTCCTTGGTGTTTTTTCTTCTTCAGTTCTAACTGAACAGTTCTAACGGATCTAACTATTTAGGACAGAAGTTTTTCAAAGAAAAACCAAGAAAGTCCAATTGCCTTTTGGAAAAAGCACCTTTGGGCAAAAAAATGATGCGATGAAGATATTTTTGCCGTTTATTAGATCACTGAGAATTTGGTGTAGGTAAGAAAGTTGTTGGTTGAGAGAATACCTTTGATTAAATGAATATGTCTGAACCATAGAATATCAAATATGGATTTGAAACCTGGTTGCTAAATGTTATAACAGTGAATGAATAATATGAAACACATATAAGAATGGACAGAATGTGAATGATTCAGCCTTGAGCACAAAATTAAGCAAGGATGTGTGTTGTTTAAGATATTTACAAACCAATGTATAAAGTATGTTTCTAGTGTTGTTAGAGGAATATACTTTTAGATGCAAATGGTGCCATGTTCTTGTCTAAAAACACAGGTGATACACAGCAGACCTTCGATTTATCTTATTTCATATTTTTTTATACTTTTCTCCTAAAGGGAATAATGTGCATGCATACAATATTGTATAATTTCTCAAATAAAAACCATTGCCATAAAAGATCAGAATTATCTCATTATCTAATACGTGACAGCAGGTTCTCGCTTCACAGATGTTTAGCTGTCATATAAAAGTCAAAATGCTAACTCTTCCACCTACATTATTCAGGACTAAAAAGGGAGCTAAAAATATAAATGGGGAAGAGATTGGTTGATTGATTGATTGATTGATTGACTTTTGAATGTCTAAGTTTGTATCCTGCTAAAAATGCATATTGACATATTTTTGAAGTACAGATGCTATTATATATGTACAGATTTCATATTTTGTGTAATTTGCACCACGGTAGATTGCAGTCTGGTAGAATATCCAGAACTAACTAAGAATTTTTTTCCGCTCAGTTTGTTGTGCATTACATTGGGGAGAGTTAATTCACCATATTTAAATGGCTTACTGTGAGACTGACAGCATATATTAATTAGCCATAACCCCAGGCACCCAACAATATTCATTTATCTCAACAACAACAACAAAACAACACTGTCTTCGGGTCCATCTCTTGCAGCCTTTCAGAACCTATGCCTTCCTGATGTATTGGGACTGTGACATATAAGATTTACCTGGTGAAGAAGATTATTGGAATGATACTTCTTAATACATGTGTGTTGAGAAAAATTGTTGGATGTGAGAGATCGTCCTTTTTCAGTTAGAAAACTCATTTGAGAGTTATTTGACCATGGGCTGTTATTTGAACATAACCTTTTTCTCTGGCTGTTGCAAATATAAAGAAAGAAATGTATATACCAGCAGTCATCAACTTACAACCACAATTGGGACCCGAAATTTCATTGTTAAGCAAGGTGGTTGTTAAGTGAGTCGCACTTGATTTTACAGCATTTTTGTCATGGCTGTTAAGCAAATCAGTGACTTTCTCTGTCATTAAGCAATTCCAACTGAACCTGTTGACTTTGCTTGTCAGAAGCCAGCTGGGAAGGTGATAAACGACAATCACAATGGCCCCTGGATGCTGCAACCAAGTTGCCAAGCACACAAATTTTGATCCCATGATCCTGGGGATGCTGCAGTGATCCTAAGTGTGGGGACTGATCATAAATCACTTTTTTTCAGTGCCATTGTAATTTCGTGTGGTCACTAAACAAATGAGTCTAAATCAAGGGCTACCTGTAAGGCAGTGTTTCTCAACCTTGACAACTTTAAGATGTGTGGACTTCAATTCCCAGAATTCCCCAGCCGGCTGTTGTCAAGGTTGAGAAACACTGCAGTAAGGTAAGGATTACCTCCCTGGACTTTTGAGGAAAGGGAACTATACAGGTAGTCCTCAACATATGACCACAATTGAGCTCAAAATTTCTGTTGCTAAGTGAAACAGTTGTTAAGTGAATTTTGTCCCATTTTACGACCTCTCTTGCCGCAGTTGTTAAGTGAATCACTGCAGTTGTGAAATTAGTGACACTGTTGTTAAGTTAATCTGGTTTCCCCATCGGCTTTGCTTGACAGAAGATACTGACACATGACCCTGGAACATTGCAACCGTGACAAATATGAGTCAGTTGCCAAGTGTCTGAATTTTGATCACGTGACCATGGGGATGCTGCAGCTGTTGTAGATGTGAAAAATGATCATAAGTCATTTTTTTTCAGTGCTGTTGTAATTTCGAACAGTCACTAAATGAACTATTGTAAGTCAGGGACTACCTATACATACATAGATACATACAGTCAGTGCCTATGCAGCTTACTATTTTAAAATTCAGAACAAGAGGTCAATTTTTTTTTATGAACTTATCCAGTGGTAGAAACTTGGAAAAGAGCCAGCATGCAGTCATTGATTTTTTTAGTGTTTTCGTTGAAGCTATAATATTTCAACCACATGCAGATGTTATTACTGACGCTGTAAATCACTTGACTAACTGAAGTGCTATATAAACAGGGTGACCATTAAATAGA